TTGCTGCATAACTGCGTAAGTGAAACGGGAGGCGCTGTTGCAAAACAGCGTAAGAGAAACGGGAGGCGCTGTTGCAAAACAGCGTAAGGGAAATGGGAGGCGTTGTTTCAAAACAGCGTAAGTGATACGGGAGGCGTTTCTGCAAAACTGCGTAAGGAATATTCGGGAATCGCCATATTTCTCCTGATAAAATATGTATTTTAGAGGAATGTTACTACGTTGCCGTAGAATAAAAGCCCTATCTCATTCCTGCGAACGGGGGGCGTTGCTGCTAAACAGCGTAAGTGAAACGGGAGGCGTTGTTTCAAAACAGTGTAAGTGAACTGCCCAAAGCTTTCCAAAACTGTACCAAACTGTCCAAAAATTTGGTGGGAAAATATTCACATGTTTTCTTAAAAAATCAGATTATATCCAACAAGATTTGGCAACGCCTGAAGGTTTATACGGCGTTTTTCCATCCCGGCACTATCAGTATCTCATTTTTACCGATTCGGCCGTGGAAGAAGGGCGCGAAGCCTTCGGAGACTTAAACGCTGCCGTAGAACAAAAGCCCATCGAACTTTTCGATCTCATGCCCGCGAACGGGGGGCACTGTTGCAAAACAGCATAAGGGAAACGGGAGGCGCTTTTTCAAAACAGCGTAAGGGAAACGGGAGACGCTGTTGCAAAACAGCGCAAGTGAAACGGGATGCCCGCGGCCCTCTCCGATCGGACGATGAGGGCACCCGGAAGATCCCTCCTTGGCCGCCGACAAGAATAAAAGACTCGAGGGGGATTTACGAGTGCGGGCCTTAAAATTGGTTTCCGTCGGCGAGGATTTATTGGAAACGCGGGTTTCGTCGGGATCCAGCCGGCGATTACGCACGCGTGTTTGTTTTAATTATATTTACGGTCCGGCGAAAAATATTCATGAAGCCGAGATGAATCCGCCCGGTGAACCGTTCGTTATTCGCTCGATAATAAAGGGCTGACCCGCGCTTTCTGGTCGTTCTTTTATTGGGACTCGTAAATTATCCATCGGCGTTCCGATCGCGTCGCTTGCACTTCGGGGCTCCGCGGGCAAGTCCTGGTTTAACTCTGAAACCGCATATCGCAACCCTAGTCTAACTGATTCGTGAACTAGGATTAATAATAATAATAACCTCCCTGCCCTGGTTCCTAAATATAGGTATCCTAGGCTGCGACGAGTCACTCCCCCAGTGGGAGTGAAGTTACCAATAACCGGTCATCCAAACTAAAAACAGCCCTCATACCCAGGAGCATTGTTTGCCCCTGTGTGAGAGTTTGAATCAACCCAGCACACGCTTTTTTTTTTTGTTTCACTGTTTCTTTATTAATTCAAGTGCTTTTCAACTACGTGACAAAAATTCATTTACATTATGAAAATTCAGAGGTAAACATATAAATATTAGAGATAAAATCAACTTTAAAGAATAAAAAGATTGCAGAAGAGAGAGCCGGATGCGCAAATTAGCATATCGTCAGCTCCCACTCCTGATTCCAAACAAATTGGAATAGACAAGGGATTTGAAAACTAAAGTACTGGACAGGATAAATAAACTAGAAATAAATTTAAGAAGAGTCTATAGCATTAGACACCAGAGATCTAACTGTAAGAATATCTTTTACAAATCTTTTGACTCTAGTCCACACTGTCAAGTTCTTTGTGGCCATTCGCTGGAAATTTTCGACACATAGCACCACACACCACGGACATGGGCTTCTGTGGATAGAAAAATTTCCGAAGCTAGAAAATAATTTCAAATACTTTCATTCTCTAGCACTACATTTTTTATCATTCTCCCGTTCTCATTTCAAAAATTTTCTCCAACAATTTCATTGATTTTTTCAGGTAAGGAAGAATTTGTTATCTTGCGGTCGTTTAGTAGCTAGCCTCGCACATGCTGTGCTTCCGAATTGCTTTTCTTGAAAGAGTAAGTCTGAACATAATTTTCACTCTAAGTTCGGCACAATGTACACTTCAAGTAAGGAAGAAATATGTTTTAATCCAGGTATCAACTATCTATGTAAGATACAAAGGAAAGAAAGAAACTGGTTTCATTTTCTTATGAGAGTCACCCCAGAAGAAAATATCCGTGATTATGCTTAACATGTATATAAATCCGACGATTTTGGTTAGGTCAGTTACCATGTCGATCTGCATCGTCAAAATTTGTCCGTAAATTACTTCTTTCTCGCAAAATTAATATTTTACCACACATTTTTTTGACACTCTTGATTTGTCTCCAACATAAGTGCGGCATTTCACAATATTCTACCACAAATATTTTGTCCATCTCTCTTGCAGTGAATAAAATCAACGAGAGGGTTTCATTAAAATGCATTGGCGCAAATCAGTGGCGTGGCGTGAATTGCGATATATCGATTGTTATGCCATTTAAACCTATGGTAAAGAATCGATTATTAAGGTGTTCGCTGCGAACACCCTGTTTATCGATCCTTTTACATAGGTTTAAATGGCATAACAATCGATTTATTGCAATTCACCCCCACTCCAATGGCGCAAATGTATCCTTCCCTCGAGTAATTGTGATTTACAGGACGCTGTGGTTCACCTATTAATGGCGTGCTTCGCGATTAATGAATCGATCTTCAATTTAAACCTATGATAAATGATCGATAAAAAGGGTGTTCGCAAGGAACGCCTTAATCGATTCTTTACCACAGCTTTAAACGGGGAATTATCAATAATCGATCATTCACGCCTCGCCACTTCAATGCCTGTGGGCGTAAATATCAGTTGGTGCAGCAGCACCGACTCTGCACCTAAGTTGCAGTCGTGGAGATTCTTATGCCGCAATTAATTGCTGCGGGTCCAAGTAGAACTTAATACGTGTTGATACAATAGCAATTACTTTTTCTACCGAACTATCGACCAGCTCTCGTCTGTGATAATTGCTGTGGGTGACAGTAAACCTTGTCACATAGATCACTTAACACGATTATGATGCCTATTGTGTGCCTCGTTCCCACGACTTTGAAAGTGTCTGGCGCCGCCGTGAATATCAAGTTCCTATATGCTATCCGTAAATTTTAGACCGCCGCGAAGATATGATCAACCGGTTTAATTTTTATCCTTTGGTGATCAGTAATGTATACAAAATCACAAGTGACACACTTGAATAATGAAGTTACGTGTATCGAAGGTCAGTATTTAAATCAGCCATTTTGCCTAAAGCTTGTGGCCAAATGTTGCATGCTTACACAGTTTTGTTAATTTATTTCTGAAAACTCGCGATTTTTTCACATTTTGGACGTTAACATCAATCAATCGACAAGGTTTGTTTACTTTTCCTGTTGTCGTTCCATGTTGTTCATGTTTACTAATCATTGTATGTTTACTATACATTCAGAACCGAAAATCTTGTTCTCTGTGTTCGTGAATCACATTATTGGCTTTACAAGCACAATTCCTTGAAGAAACTGAACACCAAAATTTTGAACACAAAGGTACAACACAGACAACTTGGAAAGCTGTGAATTTCTCACAGTGTACATGCACGTAGTAAACAAATAACGTGCCATTGTTTCAATAAAGGAAGTGATCGAAGAAAGATCCAAGTGATTGACGAAACACACAGCACGACAATCTTTCACAGTTGACTCTGACTAGTGACTTGATAATGAAATGAACTTCTAAAAGAACACATAACCTCTCAAAAACACAGCTCACAACAAACCAATCATCATCGGCATTTTTAAAATTGATTTTTTTTTTCAGGGGAAATTCGGCAGCATCTGGAGGTTGACATAGTACTTTTCCGTAGTATCACTGGAAAGAAAAGTCGCTGGGATCTAGAGTCCAGACTCTCAACGACATTGACGAGAAATGATACTCTTGATTCAACCCGATTTTTCTTCGAATAGAAGAGCCGACGATTCCGGACTACTCACCTAAAGCCTTTTCATCTATTGGGTATTTCACCTAATCCTTTTACCTAGAGACGTTTCACCTAAAACTTTTCACCTACGGGCCTACAGACCTACGGACCACTACACCTACTGTCATTCTCATGTAATGTGTAATTTCTTCAAGTACCGTAGGTGAATAAGGTGTACGTACCTAAAGATGAATGCACAAGCCGCATCCTTTTAAGAACTTTAGAAGGTTTTTTTCTTCTTTGTACTGCTGGTACTTTTGACATAGATTTTGCAGCTGCTCGTTTAGCTGTTTGTATTTTTTACGTTGTGGCGGTCGGACGGCCTTTCCCAGCTGCCGGTCCAGGAGCATCGTCTCTACGCCACCTTGTTCTTTCCGAAGCTCCCGCAGAAAGTGGTAAAAAGATGGATGGCTCTTCCTAACCACTGCGTTTAGACGACGGTTCCAACCTCCACAGACATTATTCGTACGAGGACCAGAGAGCAGTGTCGCTTGATGCTGGTTCCATAATTTTGGTGGGAATCGAGGCGGGACCGCTCGACGCCTCCCTCGTGCTGCAATGGACCACTAGACAAGGTACGAATCTAAGCATTTTGATACACGTTTCTTAACCAAAATTTCACGTAAAACACGATGCGCACAACAAAAATTACCGAAATCAACCCCTTACGATTATATTAAATGATTCCTGATGCGTGAATTCAAACCACCCGCTCATTAAAACTCAATACTCTACGTGATTCACATCGCGCGTTGAACATTATCATGACAGTCTTTGCGATATAAAAATCTGGCAACCTCAATTTTGACGCTTGGGCTCAGCTATAGCAAATTGCTTATAATTTGAACAACACATGGTGGGTTATGAACAGTGATCGATTGAGAGGCTAGCTGAAACTGTTGTGGTGCGCGATTTGACTCACGTAGGGCTTTGAGTTTCTTGTGAGCGGGCAGCTCAAAATACGCGTAACCAATGTGAAATACAAAGGTTGATATCTTCATCAGGAGCTGGTTTCAGTAATTTTCGTTGCGCGAATCGTGTTTTACGTGAAATTCTGGTTAGGAAACTTGTATCAGATTGCTTAAATTCGTACCTTGTCTAGTGGTCCATTCCTCGGACGTAAACCCGGTCAAAGTACTCGACTGTTCCTAAAAGTTCATCTGGCAGATCTTCCTCAAGTAAGTCGAGGGCTTCTGCCACGTCGTCAGTTGGAACGAACGCCAACCCGAGGACACTGTGGACACCGATTTTTATTGACCTATCATTTTCATCTCGGTATTGAGCCTGCAATCCTGCATCCTGCACGTGTCTGCACACTGATTGTGCGAGGTGGAAGTATCAAAGTCTGCTATTTGCATAATCAAAAATTGCTTGCTGCGCGTTGATGATGGCTAGCTCAAAATCACACATAATAGTTAAATCCCCTGAAGTGGCTATGTTATTATCGATGAAATATTGTTTCGCCTGCATAAAAACCGTTGTATAAGATTCTTCACTTTTATTCGTCAACAGAGCGTAGACAAAAGGGTAAGCGTTATCCAAGTGCATACCATGAATGACGAAAACTTGAGTAAAAATTTTCGGGGAAACTTTGAAAGTTCCGTCAGCGAACCAAATGGGGGAAGATGCTAGCTTCTGCAGATTATCATCCGTCGCAAAAATTATAACAGAATATACTTAATTATAATACTGAATAAGATTTTCAGGTCCTCTGCTGTCAGCGGGTGTCTCTTTTGCAAGAAATGCTGAACGAAAAACTTCTAGATACTTTTGAATCAGCTCTAGAACCCGTAATGTTTCTAGTCCAGATAGAAGTTGAGCGAACGGTTCTTTTAACCTCTTGTTAATGAAATGGTCCATGAAATCTGAAAGCAAGATTTGAACATCACAGTTTTTAAGAATTACTCAAAAATCTTCAGTAACATATGTTGAGGGGGTTGGGGTGATTTTGAATAAATTACAAATTATAACAATGGAGCCCTCTTTTCATGGACCATAAAAAATTGGTGAAATATGAAATTCAAATCATTTAAGGATTTAGAAGGTGCTTTGTTATGGAGTAAAACATTAAGAAGAAAATTTTCTTCAGCTATTTTCATAAAATAAATTGCAAATTATAACGATGGAGCCCTCTTTTCATGGACCATAAAAAATTGGTGAAATATGAAATTCAAATCATTTAAGGATTTAGAAGGTGCTTTGTTATGGAGTAAAACATTAAGAAGAAAATTTTCTTCAGCTATTTTCATCAGTTGTTTGGCAACATGGCAGCATGTCATTTTGCCATGTTGCCAATAGGAGTACCTTCGTTTCTTCGTCAAAATGTATTTAGGCCAAATTTTTCTGTAGGTCAATAACCTTGTAGGTGAAAATTCCGTGTCGACGAAAAATGCTGTAAATGAAACTGTCTTTAGGCCAAAAATACGTAGGTGAAAAGTCTTAGGTGAAATATCCGAGGATAAAAATCCCGTAGGTGATTATTCTTTAGGTGAATAGTCCCGGAATCAGAGCCGAGCCTCTTGATTTAGGCGGATTTCCCTTTGATTCAAGCAAAAAGTCCGATTGAATCAAGAGTATTTTATCTTGTCAATGTTTTCGAGAGTCTGGACCGTGGATCCAAGCGACTTTTTTTCCAGAGTACGGCAGATTTGGTGATTCATCGAACCACGGCATTTTTCAATGTGCACTTGAATCAGTGAGTTCGAAAACACACCAACTCGGAAAAAAAACAATTGTTCAGGAAACACCTAAAACTGCGCCGCGGGCGAAGAAGTTAGTTTGAGAAAAACCTTTTTGAGGCCAAAGGACAAGTACTTAGAGACTTTGTAAAGCACCAAGTTGAAATCGATACACCATGTTTCATGACAGCAGAGAATTAAGCGTTTAAAAATTTCCGAGTTGGTGTGTTTTCGTTCTCACCGACTATCAGATACTGATTTTTCATAGTCTGCATTGAAAAATGTATATTTTTCGACCTGAATAACGCTTGAGTATTCATATAAATTGTTGGTACAAGGTATACTGAGCCGAAAAAAGAAAACCGCAAAATCGGATGGGCACCCATTTCCCTTGAAATGGTCAAAAGTTAGTATTTCCAATGAAATTCTTCGATTTTTACCTTTTCCCGTTGCTATTTCGAGCACTTCCGATTGCAATTTCGAAATTTCCTTTTGCGTGCAGATGCTTCTATCCATAAGTGTTACTAAACCGTAAAAAAGTGAAAATCGAAAAAAACCCGAGTTGGTGAGTTTTCGATCTCACTGAGTCACTTGTGGTCGGCAACGCTGGGAGTTGCGATTTAGCGCGATAAAAAATGCATGGAGCGACCTCGACATTAATTAAAGACCGTAAACGATAATAAATGTCTTTTCTCCGTCGGGCCTTACACCTCCTCTCCTCCAGCCGTTCATGGCGGGCAGCGCCACGTTTCCTTCCTTCCCATTTCTCAGCCTCTCCTCAAAACCCCGCGTCTAATTAAACTGTCGCCATTGTTGACATTTCGAAAGCTGGAGGCGTGATCCGTCCGTCTATTACCTTTAACTTCAAATTGGAAAGGTAATTAAATTATACTACACCTGTGTCAGCGGGTTTTAATACCGCGTTTCGTGTGAGAACAGTGAGGATATATTCATGATATCATTGTTTGTTTCGCGTGTATGTGACAAATCTCGTTTTGTGGTTTTGGGATAGGCAGTGCTTTGAAAGTAATTAGGTCGAAACTTACATGAAAAGAAGGAAATTGGTTTTAAGGAGCTACGATTACGATCTTTCGGCTGTCACTATCGTTATGGCCATCACGTGTTTTTTCTTTTATTTAAAATTTAAAATCGCCCGCAAAATTTTGTCATTAAATCCATCAAATTTCTTAACGTTTTCAATAGAGGAAATTTTCATGCCCAATGATTGGAGGAGCTTTTTTTTTCATCTGTAATTGTAGGTTACAGTATTACCTGTTCGCCATTTCTAACCGAAACGTCTCTTATTTAAACTCCGATTCCTTGCTAAAAGCACCTTCTTTTTGAGCTGGAAACTAACTTGCTATATTTTTTTTTAAATTTTAATCATCCAAGTCAATTTTGCAACCTTGGAATGAAGTTGCGCTCCTATGTCTTGCAAAAGACTGATTATTGTCATCGCATAAACATACGTAAACGGTAGCTGCAACCTGCACTGCTTTCTGCTTTCCAGCATTCTGCATTGACATCACGCAGCGAAAAGACACATCCGCCCCATCATATTCAAGAAGCAAGGAAAATTGGAGTAAAACAAGACCAGATCGTAAAGTCGGTTCATCGAAGCCATATATCAAGTCAAAATATGATCCTTGGCGGTATTAAATTCCATTCATTTGTCAAGCATTTACCTCTCGTTTTCCAGGAAAACCTATAAAAAAAACAGTGCCGGGCAGAACGAGATAGAATCCACAGTTGTCATCGAGCAGTGGCGTGGCGTGAATGATCGATAATCGATATCTCCCTATTTAAAGGTATGGTGAAGAATCGATTATTGAGATGTTCGTTGCGAACATCCTGTATAACGACCTTTTCCGTAGGTTTAAATGGCCGATCAATCGATGTATCGCAAAGCACGCCACGCTACTGTCATCGAGTGTCGCTTCATTTAAAAACAATTCGAGTCCCTCCAAGCGTTTAATAATAATATACAATACCCACAACCTTTCCCATTCGCAATGCGGTGCCCCCCATAAAAGGTCTTTTACGTTTTATTGCATTTTTCTTCCGCGGATGTATTTATTTTCCCGATTACTATCTGGTCCTTAAAAGCTGATCGTTGTCAATAAGCTGCAAGTTAGGATTCGCTAATAGACGGCTTTTAAATTTTAAAGCCTCCTTAAGCCATCAAGTGAAGATGAAGAAACGGAACGTCTCAGTTGAAGGAGACATTATTTTCCCATTAATGGATGATTGACTCAAATTGCATAGTGCAGCGTCGATTTTACACCGCAATCACACGCTGAATGTGGCTTGAATGTGGAATTCATCGGCCCGATGCCTGAATTTTGCGTGTGTAGCGCAAAATTCAGCAACGATTTTCAGCAACCATCAGACCAATTTTGAATTTGTCTGAACTATTCGAGTAGATTTGATACACATCTGGATGATAATAACTCGAATTTGCTAAATTTCAGTCGTTGGGCGATGACTGTTGACTTCCACATTCAGCGTCTGATTTCGGCAATACTGGTAGTTTCCTGTGGCGTGGCGTGAATTGCGATGTATCGATTGTTCTGCCATTTAAACCTATGGTAAAGAATAGATTATTCAGGTGTTTGCAGTGGACACCCTGTTTATCGATCCTTTTCCATAGGTTTAAATGGCATAACGATCGATATATCGCATAGCACGCCACGCCACTGGTAGTTTCATCTTTTATACACTCATTGACGAAGTCTCGTTCATTCTAGCTTGAGCTCAACGGATGGACCGCTAAACATTGTAGGAATTTTAGTCCTTTGAATGTTTTCTTATCACACATAACACGCTAAAAACATCACCAATGCCGAAATTTAACTCAAAAGCGAGTGATTACAATTTCTCGTGTTCGTTAATACCCAACATGCTTTTTAAATCTACTAATATTGAAATCTATTTTGATGAGAGGAACCGTTGAACTATTTTCCATGCTCTTTGCGGAGGAATATTTTCTTAGTAGAATACCTAATTTTTTATTACAACATCATTACAATCTGTCTAACGGTTTTTAGCCCAATTTACACCATCAAAATTTTCGTCCAACTCTTGGATGCAACTTATCGAATGAAAAGTTGGATACTGTGATTCTGACAAGAGTGAACGACAATTTGATGAAAAATTGGACGGAAACTTGAATGTGACCCCACATTCAACTTTTCGCTCAATTTTCCAACCATGCAACAGTGTTAAGGAAACCCAAACGCCTTCATTATTTTGCGTATGCAATTAGGATAAGCGTAGAGCACAAATAGTGGTATCTAGAAATATATTGTATTTCGATACGGCGCATGCAGGATGATTCCAACGTTGAAAACGTACTTACGGACAAGTATGATTGAAACACTAGGGCGCCTTCAATATTATCCTATGCAACACGGACATTCGTCGAACACGAATAGTTGCATTCTCGGGATAGGTATCACATATTGGAACCACACCGCGGATCTGAGATGTGCGACCTCTAAACACGGGGATGAAAACAAGAGCAAATGAGTTCGAAAGGACGTTTTCTTCATGCCCCGATGTATCAGAGTAACCTACCTAGTGGGGCCGATAAGCGTAACAATCGTGCACTTCTGGAAGAAAGCATGAAAATTTCAGGGATTCATCTCTACCCTATAGACTTTCGTTTTAGACATAGACCCCAAAAATCTGAGCCCCCTGGGGGGCAGGGGGCCCCCCAAATTTTGAATTTCGTATAACTACTGAACGGCTAATGTTAGCGTAGTTTTTTTACAGCAGGACGATGAGAAATTGTATTAGGAACAAAAATGGTTCTTATGAATTTTTCTGTGGGATCGATATTTAAGGCGTGAAACGGGAAAAACCATCGGGGGACGGGGAGCCGGCCGTTCTGAGGCAGATCCGCGCGCTGCGCTGCCTGCCCGGGACGCGCGCGGCGGCGGAGTACGGTGTTCCCGACGAAATAGCCGCTTGTCTCGGTTTAATCTCGACGGTGCGCA